GGCCCGTGAGCGCCCTTCTCCCCCTCCTTCTTCACGGCCCTTGGTGTCTGCAGAGTTGTTTCTCCCACACATTCTCACTCCTCTCGTCCGACTGCTGTTGTGCAGCAATTTTTTCCCCCTTCTTACATATGTTGTCCCAGAGGCGCTACCACCGTCACTGATGGGCTCAGCTTTGGCCAGGCGGCAGGTCTGTCTCAGAGCCGGCTGGCATTGGCTCTATCAGACATGGGGGGAGCTTCTGGCATCTTCTCACAGAAGCCACCCCGCTACCAAAACCTTGCCATGCAAACCCAACACAGCTGTGTTCCCTTTGTACGACTGCAGTTCACCCATACAGTTGACCTACATAATGTTTAAAACACTGCTGGTGTTCTGCATGGCCTAAGCTAGCTTTTAAATATGTGGCATCACTACTTTCACTCCCTTATTCCTGCATCTAATATTTTGAATCGTATACCAGCCTATGTGTAAGTTCTGATTCATTTTAACTCATTGTGAAACAGATTCTTTTTGTTTAGATTGGGATAGCAGAATGTTTCGTCCATAAAGAATAAAACTGATAAATATTCTACTCATGTTCAGTGATATCCGTATAGTTGGGAAATGTCACATAGCCTATTTCTTTCCACCACTACTTTACAATTTCTTATTTATTTGCTATCTTAAAAAAAGTTTGAAGACAGTCCCCTCAGAATCTGTTGAGATTTTTCACTCAGAGTTTGGAGACCTCAGCATGCTTAAAGAAGGAACCACATCTTAATCCTGTTTTGAAGTGCTTTGAAATTGGTACAGAAAATGATATAGCAGCAGGCATACTATACCATTCTTTTTGCCACAGTATCTACATATTTTTCAATGAAAGTTGAGATTCTGTAGGAAAAGGGAAAAATTGTAGAGCAAGCTTAAGAACTTTGAGAAAGTATGATGAGCATTGTACAAGACAATCTTATTTTGGAAAATAGTAACACGCAACTTGAAATCTCCCATTGAAATCCATGGGAAAATAGATCATGCCAGAATATAAGAATGGCTTATTAACAATACCATTTTATGAATATGTAAAGAAATGATGCATTATACAGTTACTTAAGAATTTTAGAAGATAAGATGACCAAAACCCATCCGTTGCTTTGAAGACTCTCTCTTTACTGTACTTCTTGTGTGGACCATGCCTATAGACAGGATCAGTGAAACTGTTACAAATTATGTTTGCTTGGCTAATAACAGCTATGTAAAATCATGTCATGCAGTAATATTGCTTCTCAACATTTTAAGCTTAACATAGGCATAAAAATGTATTTGCCAACTTTTTGTATTGCTGTAGTTGTTTTTCTTTATGATAGAGAGAAAAGCAGTGATATGTACTCATATATTACTCAAAAACAGTAAATTATTCTCCCTTGAGTAGTGTGACTAGGCTTTTTCTAGATGGCCCTGTGCTCAACAACTCTTTACATTTAGATTTTTGTTTCACATTTGGACTTCTACTATTTATACCTCTGCTGCCTCTTTCACTTCAGTTTCTGGTAGTTATCCACTGAAAGGTATTTGAAGTAGGATATGCTTAAAGTTGCCTATTCTCTGTTGTCATTTTTTATGCAAGGCAGTTCTACAGGGATGCACTGGTATTCAAAACATGGTACAGTTATTCCCAAATGTGAATTGTGTAGATTTGGACAGTCATCTTGTCAACTTATTTCTTTCATTCAGTGCAACTGAAGTAAAAAAATAATCAGCACAGCTATTCCTGTTAGACAAAAAAGTAACAGAGGAGCTGAAATTCTATGCATTTCAACAATAAAGCTCTCATGTCCCTGCAATTCATATTGAGATTAGAACGTATTAAACAGGGAGGAAAAGAAACCAACGTAGTATAAAGGTTCTTGCTTTTGGATTATTTCTACATTATTGGAAAAGATCTGCTGTAGCACATTTTTAAGGTTTACTTCTTGATTTCTTAATACTTGGTACTTGAATTCTTAAAATTAATTATTGAATTCTTAATGCCTTTAAGCTTCTATTCTTTAAATCAAGAACTTGCATTTGTGATTTACAGTTCTTCTTAACACCATGCAGTACGTGTACGTTCCCAAAAGGCAGCAAAACAAGGTAGCTGGGAATGGAGTGGAATGGAATGGAATGGAATGGAAGCTAGTAGGGAGAGTCCAAAGGGATACCATCCCACCCCATTGGAAGAACCTGAACTGTTGGAAGAAAAGATGAATCAAAATCAAGAAAGCATAGACCAGAATAGTCTCTTCAATGTAAAGGTCATGTCTTCATTCTTTGTTAAAGGAGGCCCTAAGGCTGGACTAACCTCTCAAGCAGATAGTTAGTTCAGGTGCAATGAACCAGAACTCTTCTGAGCGTGCACAAACCAGACAACTCAAGCATACCTGACATTTAACACACCCCACTTTCCCAGACAGGATGCCCACACAGTAGCTGTGCCACTACTATCGTAGTTTCTCATAAATATGCATCACATAAGGTTGTGAGGCAAAAGCACGTATCTTGTTCAGTGACGGTTGTCCATATTCCGAAATACACGTTTGTATTTAAATTCAGATGATCCATGTTTTTCCAATTCTTGTAGGGTGTGTATACATTAGTGCTTTAGTTCAAAACACCAGAGCCTTTTTGAGGTGAATGTCTCAATCATCCCCATTTACCATCCTTTGGTTCAAGTCATGGAGCTCTCTTGGAGCTCATGAACAGTATTCCTTTCATGTGAAACTAAATTGGAATAGAAATTCCAGGAGCGCTTGTAATAAACGCCAGCTAATGGGAGTTCAGTGCCAGACTAGAATTATCATGAAATATAGTCCAGAAATACACAGAGTATGGGTGTCAGGAGCAGAGTACCAACTGCTTCTTCACTTTATAAATCCATTCCTGTTGGGGCCACGCCTCCTGCTAAGGTAAACATAGTCATAGAAAGAATCAATTAGGAAGCTCAGAATTTTTTGCATATTGTTTTTCCGATCTTGGAGAAACAGATGTAGTGGGTGCAGGAATTGGGGGCTGAGTGGAAAGAGAGTTTGAAAGGTAAACTTTTTTTTTTTTTAAATATACTTCGAGTTCACTGTAGTGCAAGCAGGCCACTTGAGGCACAAACAGCACCAAGCTGACCTGAGAGTATTCCAGAAGTCCTCATTGGGATTTTTTTTCTATTTCATCTTTAATTACTCACTTGTTATCTTGAAAGTGTTTTTCAGTGACAAAAGATGCATAGGTGCCCTTAATACTGGGTTTCTGTGCATCTGGCAAGGGCCACAATTAAACCACAATAGCTTGCTTTTTTTCACAGTAGCTCACAGCAGACCGTCAGCATCAAATAGTCCTAAAATATTTTCCCATCTATTTTTAGCCAACAGAGGGTACACACAGAAGTGTAATTATAATGGAGTCTTCATTTGCCATTTATAATAGGAAGAGAATTCATGCCACTGGATGATTTTCCTCCAACTCCCTGCCAATACCAATTGCTCCTAACTAGCATATATAGTCAATTATAAGCTTTATTTGGCTAGTGCATACATCTGCAAGCATAGCAAACAAATGACTGCTCCAAATACTGTGCATGCCAATTACTGTGCTTAGAGGGATTTGGACAAAAGAGAGAGATGCGTGAATGCACTGCAGAGCAAGGGTTTATTTCTGGGGGTTTTTGTTGTGGGGTTTTGGTTTGGTGTTTTTTAACAGTTCTCTTTTATCTGCTGTCTTTGTCTTCTGTTTGTTTTCTTCCCTTCTCACACCACGGTGTGGAATGCTGAATGCTGATGAGAGAAAGCTCTTCGGAATGTCAATCAGTCATTTTTCATTAGCTCATTTAGGAATAGGATGCCCAAATTGGACTCAGTAAGCCAGCTGTAGGCTACCCAATTATCAGTACTGAGCTATCTGGAGCTGTCTTCCTCTATCTGATAACATTTTTCAGTCATGGGGATCTTCACTTGTTGAACATTTTGTTAACCATCAGTAAAAAGTTTTGCTACTACTACGTAATGTATACGATAGCTATAATTACTATCTCTTCACAGAAAGAGAGATAAAACCAAGGTTACTAATGAGTTTATAGTCTGTATAAGAGAAATACAAGACAAAGCGTGACACTTCCATTCTGTAGAAAAGTTTTTAACCCCCCCCCCCAAATTAATAAAAAGATTCCAGGATGTGAGTACCACTGCAAGACCACAGGTTAGCAAGGAGTTTAGTAATATAAGGGGATTGTTTCATAGTGGGACAGAGTGACAAAAAAAGATAATAAACATAGAAAGAGAGAACAGACTTCAGAAGCTGCCTGAAATGCTTTTCTGAGTTGTAACTATAGTTTAATGTGTTCTGCTTTGATCAGAGGCCATTCTCACGGAGAAATGAGAGGATCCTTGAAAACAGAAAGTGTACTTCCTGTTCATAACTCATGTGAAATTTAAGTATAACAAATAAAGATGATGCAAAGATAAACATGAAAAGTTGACTGAGTAAAAAGAGCTGCTAGAAATTATGGCCACTGTTAGTGTCTGCTGTCTGATATAGGAAAGATCTATGAGTTATTTGGATTTTTTTTTCCTCTCTGCTCTTGCATCCTGCTGATGAGATGACCTAAAATTGTTTAGCTTATGAGAGCTGACAAGATCAGAGACCATGGTAGTATGGCTGCAGGGTAGTGAATTATTCTTGTTGAATTCACTGAAGTCTTAGGAAGTAAAATAACAGAAATAGGACTGAAACTTAGGCATCTACCCAGACTTTAAAAAAAAAGAAAAATCAACACCTGGAAGGATAAGGTCATCTATGGTCTGTGCACGAATACTTTTTTTGAACATTCATGCAAAATTAGATCTTACTGAGATAATTTGCAAAAATATTTGGAGCGACCGTTCAGCATTCTTTTCTGCCACAGTTATCTGGAGGAATTATTATGGAATTAGTACCAGTTATGCTAATGGCGTCAGTCCAGGAAAAGTACGCCATGAATAAAAGCAAAAAATTGGGCCCTCATAGGTGAAAGCATCTTAAGATTCCAATGTTCCAAAAGCCAGCAAATTTGATCTTGCTTAAACACGGAAAAAACCCTGGATATTCAGAGCCTCAGGCTACAGCACCTATTACTTATCTATTCCACGATGTATAACCCCACTTCTAGTGTATCAGTTGGACAAGTGAAATTATCAATAACTTTAAAGTGTTACAAACTTTCTTGTAGGTGTCAAGCTGAAAAGCTGGAGAAATATTACTATACAGCAAACAAAGCTTTAACAGTGCTCTATTGCTGCAAAAATTGTAAATTATTTAAAAGACAAAACAAAGATGCTGTGTAAAGGTGTGAAAATATAGAAATTTAGAGCGAGAGGACAGCTCTCTGCTTCTCAGTTTCCAGTGAGTCCACAAATTTCAAGGTTAACTGTGTTGCTCTTATTGAAATAGTTTTTCCCATTAGACTTGTAAGCACAAGACTAGCTCGTACGTAGAATATAATGGAACAGAATACTCCGTTGTCTTTGTTCCCATGCTGCCCTATCTACAGGACACAGGAAGGATGTACAGCATCTCGAATCCTCAGGAAGTATCAGGACTGGCAAAGCTGGATTTCCTCTCAGAGCCCTCAGCCAGTGATGGTGCAAAAAAGCACAAAGAAGCTCCACCATTCTCCAAGCTCTGCCTGTACCCAGGAGAGCATCATGCTTCTGTCTCCCTGCACATGCTGACTCTTGTGGAGAGACGGGAAGAAGCAGGTTAGATGGCAGTTAACCTCTGTGTCAAGGCACAGGGAGTTTTTCCCCTGTGCTATCATGAATCCATTTCACAAATACAGAAGAACACTTGGTCAGAATCTGCCTGTGTGATCAAGGAGATATTAGGAATTAGAGTGTAAATGTCTTTTGCTCCCTGTCATTTCTTGCTGTGATGTGCCTCCAAACAGGTATCCATTTCTGTGCTTATGAGGTACAGAGAACTTTGGTTATAGATCACTGTTTGGAAATTAACCCAGCTTGCAAAAAGGATTTAAAATCAGTACTCCACAGTGTGGCTTTTGACTAAACGATAAACAAATATGGATAGACCAAAATGTAACATTTTGATTCTGAAATTCCATTTATTTGAGTAGAAGTTCTAGTCTATACTGTTATCTGTTCCCTTGTATCCTTTTAGGAAGGTTTTTGAGTACCAGAACACCTTGTTTCCTTTCCTTTTTCCCCTTCAGCACTACTTAAAAGTGTACGCTATCTGTATTCTCAGAAAGTGCAATAAATAAGACAGGAAAAAATTAGTCCACCCTAGGTACCTCTTTGTTTTGAGAGCACTGCAGATTTTTACATACCTAGTCATTCTCTCCATTTTGTCTGGATAGCTCAATCCAGTGGAAACCATAAAGGCACAGCTCTAAGTATGAAAGGTTATGGAGCTTGCCGTGTGGCAGAGTGACATATTTAAAAGAAAGGCTGGCTTTTTATGGAACAGCCATAAGCCCGACACAGCTTCAAAAGAAAGAACTGACAGGGAAGGTAGAAACTAAATTTTCGCTTCTGGATGCTTTGGTAGTTTCAGATAGAAAAAAAACTTATTTAGACAATTAAAGGAATACAGTAATGACAATGATGTGACTCATTTAAAAGTGAGGCTTATTGATATTAGAGTAAAAATTATTCCTCTCCGCTATTGTTCTCTGTAAAAATATATTCTAGCATACACAATTCCAGTGGTCTTTACACATACAGCACCTGTCTTTTCCCCTTTAATTTGCAATATTAAATTTTTAACTTCTTCTGTGCTTATCTAAAGATAAAGTACATCCAAGCCTCCTCTGTATGACACATCAAATTAGTCATTATACTTCAGTAGATTTTTACACAGGTGAATTGAAATGCAGAAACATACTGATCAACACAGCAATGTACAGCACAAAACTTGACCAAAAATTTGGGTTGTGGTGTGGGTTAGTTCTGTATTTTAATATGGTGAGTATTCTTTCATCAAAATGGTATGTTAATATATTTTGGAAACACAGAGGGGAAGAAAGTTCTTGAAAACAGGCTGAAGCACACTCCTGTTATGATGAACAAATACAGGAAGGGGTATTTATGAAAAAAAAAAAAAAAAAGTAGTGCAAATTAGTATTGAATATGAGCTATTGAGTGTGAACTTCAGGTTAGTTCTTTCAGCCTTTTTCTTTACTTGTACACATGCTGAATGTGTACCCTTCTGCCAGCTGGAATCTCGCTGAATAACAGGTATCTTCTCTGTTGACCTGGGTCATGAAAACCACTAACAGTTATCAGGGCTGTATCAGAATTCTCTTATAATTTTTTATTTCTTTCCAGGGTTCACCAGGGGAGCGTGGAGCAGCAGGCACTGCTGGCCCAATTGGTCTACCAGGTCGTCCTGGACCTCAGGGTCCTCCAGGCCCCGCAGGGGAGAAGGGTGCTCCCGTAAGTAATCACAGAGTCACATAAAATTATCACAGCACAGACTTTTCATTCCAGAATGTTACTGTTTCCCACGTTAGTATTTGCCTGTTAAACATATCCTCAGAATACCTGACCTACTCCTTTTAGATTTACAATTAAGTAAATAGTAAAACATTTCTTGTCATACCATCTAACACCCAAGAAGGGTTAAACCCGTTACTATCACAGCAGGGAGTGAATATAATAAAAAAGTTTGTCAAATCAGTCTTTCATTAAAACTTTGTACCCAGCCACGGTGCATTAGAGTACAAGTGTATTTATCATAGGCTTCCATTATTATTTAGCATAATTTTCTGATACATTCTCTTCCCTTTATAGTTTCCCTCCTGCTGTTTGGGTTTTTTTTAATTTTGTATTGGCAATGTGACTCCCTGTACTGAAATCTTCATTAGTCTCCTGTGATGATGTGGATCACTTCCTTTTCTTCAAAACCAGGGTGAAAAAGGTCCTCAAGGTCCAGCTGGACGTGATGGAGTACAGGGTCCTGTAGGACTTCCTGGTCCTGCTGGTCCTAGTGGTTCTCCCGGAGAAGATGGTGACAAGGTGAATCATTATAATTGGTATTGGTGCATCTGTGAGAAGGTCTGTCGGTAGAGTTCTCTGGTTGTAGCTTTTCTCACAATAAATATGGCGACGAAGCAACTCTTAGCCCTGCCTGCCCCAAACTCCCTCCACCTACTGCAAAAAACCTAAACAACCCTTCTATAATCAGATGTCTGAGGGACAGACGCCATGGGACACTGGGACTTGTGTTCAAGAACTAGTAGACTAGCATTTATCCTGGCAAAGAAACAAGGATGAAAGTGTGGCAAAATAAATCAAGGCAGATGATGTCAAAATTGATTTTTGCCTATTTTAGAAACTTGGCTTGCTGAATGAGTAAGATAAAATGTTCTGGGTAATGTATAGTGATTTGGAACCAGTGTTGATAGGTTGAGTGTGTCAAAATAATATGTTCGCAGCAGAGATGTTCTGTTGACTTCTGGCAAAATTTAAGACACGGCACCTTTCAGGATCATCTTGCATGTTTGCTTGATCCAGCATTGTTCTGTTAGTTAGCATAGGGTAAAGGTAAAGACTTGGAGGTTCATTTTTATGATGCATGAGTGTTATTTATCCCACAGAGAGTCTTTTCTGTGATTTAATTTAATTGTCTTTTATTATTGTATAAAGAAAACATTTTTTTTCTGACATGGTTTCCTGGTCATTTGAATAATTTTGAAGTTTTGAAATATTGTACACGACAGTGAGAAGCAGTTGTTCAGTCACATACAGTTAGATGAGTCTGTAAATCAGGGTGCTTTCATTATAAGTTCATATTGAAGGTGACATGAGGAACACAATTTCCTTTATTTAGAGCTCAGTTGCACTATACTTCAAAGCCAGGTCTTGCAGTATAGCAATCAATATCTGGATTAATATGACATACTATTGATCGATGCAGAATTGCCCCCTTTAGGCCTTCACACTTGAAGCAGCAGCATAAAAAGAATAGTCATATCAAAAGGAACGTTTAAAGATACTGTGATACTGACATCAGCTAAGTGAAGGAGACCATTTTAAACAAGAAGTTTAACTTTTAACTTTCAATTACAGGGTGAAATTGGTGAACCGGGTCAGAAAGGTAGTAAAGGTGACAAGGGAGAAAACGTGAGTAGCAAAATCCTTTGTCCATTACATTCTTCATAAATAAAAAGTATTCATGTATGAAGTCTGCAGGTAGCCTTGCTACCTCAATGAACAGCAACAAAGACGCACTTCAAAAATGTTTCTTAAAAATAATGTCGAGTTTTAACGCAACACTAGAGGTTTGTACTTACAGAGCCATGCATATATTTAGTATTTCTCATAGTTCTTGAGCTTACAGAGTCATTAAAAAATAGATAGGTAAACTACATTCCTAAGCAGCCTTCCTATATCATTTTAATTCATCCATTCTACATTTGAACTGGGAGAGACCAAGACTATGCATACATTGTCTTACTGTGTTTAAGTTAACTTCACTGACTGGGTTGTGTGAACATGCCCGGCTTTAGCTTCTTAGCCATAATGATGAAGAATATGAAGACTCAGTAGAGAAATCTACTAATATAGTCCTAAAATTTTTAAAGAATATCTAATTCTTGGAGAGAACACTTAACTGATTGCAACATTTCAGAACAGCGAAGACCTCAGATGAAATGGCTTATATGAGTTTTCAAATATTATCACTAGGCCTATTAGTGAGCTTAGGGCTAATCATTCTTCTACTGATTTAATTTGAAATATTTCTGTCCTCAGAATTATTTCTAAAGTTCAAGCACTTCCTCTTCAGATTGAGGCCAGAAATATAAAAATAAGCTTTTTCCACTGTAAAATTTGAAGCTAGAAAGAAAAAACTAGCACTTTTTTTTCTATTTGATTTTGGTTTCTTTCCCAAAAAGTCAGAAAAGGTTTGTTTCACTTCTGTTCAATTTCAAGATAAACTGGCATTTTATTGGAATAATTTTCCTTAAGAAAGATGGGGAAGTAATTGCAGAAAGATTTTTTTTTTTTGTTATTACTATATTTCATCAATATTCACAGTTAGCGAAGTTCAGAACTCAACGTAGGGGTATTCATAACTAAGCATATTTACTACCTTGATAACACTGTGTGCTTATTATGATTAACAACTTACAGAGCATCATAAAAGTAGATTGCTTCTAAAAATTGCACCAAATTTATGGCTTACACATAATCAGATGAAGTTTTATAGGAGGATACATGCAAATTCAAGCAAATCACAGGTTTATGATAATTTCATAGAAAAAATGTGGAGACAGAAAGTGCAAAAAAAGGACGAGGTTTTTTTTTTGGTTTTAAGGATAAGCTTGTCCTTTTCAATTATTTTGTGAGAAAGATTTCTGCAGTTTCCAGTGCAGAAACATATCTTTCACAATCCTATTTTAATAGATCAAATCACAAGTGCTATAATAAACTATTTGTAATGCCCTGTTTACACAAGGAATGTCATATTATACATATGGATGAGAGAGCACTTCTATTATAAACCCCAGTTTTCCAAGAAACATACCTGCAACCAAGTTGTAAACAAATTCTGCTTCAGACTAAAATTACTCTTGCATAATCTGAGCCGAATGCTTTGGTTAACTTGGTAAAATTAATTTAATTATCAAATTAAAACATTTTTAAAAGTCAGTTTTAAAACTATGGACTTGTTCCCTGTTAACTGAAAATCAATCTTGATCTATTTGCTGTTGTAGCTGTGAACCAGCTATGGGATGCAGAGAGATATACGCAGCTCCTCTTTGTCCACCTAAAGAGGTTCATTGCAGTACAGGCCCTGTGTACACAGAAAAACCTGGCGTTTAAAGGAAAGGGCAGAGGAAGCATACGAAGCGGGTCATGGTCCAGTTCTGCTTTGGGCTTTGCATGGGATATCCTTCTGTTTTCCCCTTTGAGACCCCTCTTCACTAGAGATGCTTCTGCGTCAGAGAAATTCAGAAAAAACACATGCTGCACTTTTCTATTTCGGACCATTTTAGCATAGCTAGTTATGCTGAGCATTAGACTGTGACCGCAGTTCCCATAGTGAGTACTAATGTATTTGGGCATGTTCCAGCAGACCTGCTTTACAAATAAAGCGTCTGCAGCACAATCATTTGAGAATGTATCCCATACTCTCAGTCTCAAGGTCTAAGGCATTTGGGAAGGTAATATGTTTTCCTTGAAGTACAGGATTCGGTGTTGAGGCCTGCTTAGCTGAAGTGAATGTTACCCCGTTTGAAGTCATGTGTATTGAATCCTATTTGCGCTCAGTTGCAGTCATTCAACTCATTCAACCCTGACAATTTCAGAATGTGTTTATTTCAAATCTGCTTTCCTTTCAACATGCTGACAGATGTATATTGGGGCAGGGAGGAAAGGCCTTGTTGGTCACCTCTGAAAGACTCTGAAGAGGAAGTAAGTACCTAGTTCTGAAATCACAGGACATAAAGAACAGGTATTGACAATACCTAGACACCCACAAAAGCCTTGGTGGGCATTCAGAGCCTAATCACAGCGAGGACCCTGAGCGAAGAAGAACTGATCCCTCTTTCCTGTTTAAGAAGAGCTGGAAACATCTTCAATTCCCGGTTGAAACTAACAAGGATTGATGTTTGGGGGTTTAACCATACTGCGCCTAACAAAAAATACTATGTTGCCGTATCCTAGCTAGGGACAGCACAATTTTATTGCTGAAGTACATCCTCTCTTGAGCTTCAAAACCTCCACTGCTACCACAGGTGCCTTTATTAACTGAAGATTCTCTCCTGATGATTCTGATCAGTCTCTCTCCATTTGCCCTCCAGAGCAACGGAAAAAAGAGTCTGGCCATGTGTCCAAATAACTTCTCATTAATCAATTGCAAAGTACCTTCCAGCAATATTTTATATCAAAATGAGTATTTAAATGAGACTAAAACCATGTAGATCTTGTTCTGGGCCCTATAAAATGAAGGAGCAGGTAGAAGCATCCTGCAGAGCGCAGAAGCAAGCCATTCCAATATGATTTTTTTTTTAAATTCATGCATACTAATTCCCTTTCTCATGGTAACCCTCCCAGTCAACAGGAGCATTCCTAGGAGTCCTTTGATTTAGATATGTCACCATAGAGGCTAAAAAGCTTTGCTTCACCTATTGCCATCAGGTATGTGACGAAAAGAAAATTAGAGAAGAAATACATAGCTTGACACTTCAAACTCCCTAGAAAATAAGATACTCTAAAATATATACAGAACCCAAAGAAAGAAATAGACTACAAGACTTAAGTAGTCCCTTTTCCTCATCTCCCTATAAAGGACAGAATAATCTAATTTTAGCCCTAGCAAGGTCTTTAAATCCAAGCATTATTCTGCACTAAATTAGAATTCCCAGCCTAGAAACTGCAGACAACTTCTTTGTCATCTGAAATAGCTGACTAGAATTGATGCCCCATCCCTGGAAACATTCCAGGTCAGGTTGGACGGGGCTCTGAGCAACCTGCTCTAGTTGAAGATGTCCCTGCCCACGGCAGGGGGGTTGGACTAGATGGCCTTTAGAGGTCCCTTCCAACCCAAACTCTTCTATGATTCTATGAATTCAGCCGTTGCCAGGTGTAAGGTTTTACGCTTTCTTAGCTTCACTCTTTATCAGTCTAAATTCTCTAGCTGGTGCAAAAAACAGATTCAACCTATCACATAATTTTAACCCCATCATAAACTAGTATCTTGCATTCCCATACTCTCAGGGTTAGATGTCTTCATTACATCACATCTGCATAACTGACTTCTAAATTATGCACAATATAACTTAGAAAGTTATTATTCTGTAAGGAGACTGAAAAAATTAAGAAGTTCCTCTCAGAGACATATTTTTTGCCATTCTGTTGAAAAGAAACTTAATATCAAAGAGAATGTGACTCCCCAGTGCTCAGCAAGAACTTAGACTTTTTCATGTCTCCTGGAGGTCAAAATAAGCTTTGCGCTGTTGCAAAACCCATTTGCAATTTCATAAAAACTAATCCAAATAATAAGCATTCCATTTAAAGATAGGTTGTTAGGTGATGCTTTAAAGGTTGGCTTTTTCTGCACAAATCTCATTGGAAGGTCTGATATTTTTAATTGTGAAAAAAATATTTTTCATTTTGATTCATGTTTGCATGGGAATCTATTCTAAATAATCTGAAACATTACAAATGTGCTTTCAATAAAGGCCAGTATTAAGTCTATTATAGATGTGCAAATCTGAGTCTTTGAGAGATAAACAAACAATGATTGTTTGTACTGAATGGAAAAGACTTGTGAATAATGCTACATTCTCTATGGAGAAATGTAGAAAAGCTTAATATTTGCTTGATCGTGCAAATAAGGTTGTGTCTATATTTGCTTTTAATCTCATTCCAGACGCCATAATCACTAACTTTTCCTTTTGGATGTTTGTTTGTTGCAGGGTCCTCCGGGTCCACCAGGTCTCCAGGGTCCTGTTGGTGCCCCTGGTATAGCTGTAAGTAGCTTATTCAGAGCAAACCTCAATCTTGCCATAACTCATCTGATACTTAGAAGTTCTTTGAACTGCATGCTCCTTACTCAGGAATGTATTTCAAATCACTACTAACAGTTCTATCATTGTCCTCTTATATGCAGTTGTTTATTGTAAACCAGCCTGCATAGGTGTTATTTTATTTCAGATTTACAGCAGCTCAATAATTTGGAAGGAATTATTAAAAATGAAATAGTGTAAATAGCGAATGGGGCCCATCCTTTCAGTGAACTTGTTTGATGGTTTGTATGACAGTCAGTGGTAAAATCAGCTCGGTACCAGATACATTTAGAAGAGAGTATCTCTCTTTAAAATCCAGCTGATACCAGGTGGATTGATTTTTATTTTTATTTAGAAGGCTTTGAATCTTCTACCATGAACGTTGGTAGGACTATATGCTACTCATACTTACTAATGAATGTAGGTATTCAACAGCTAGAATGTCTATGCAGATGTGAAAGAGAAGAGGTATTCAGTGAAAATTTTTGTGAGATATGCAGTATTATTTGACCTACGTTAAATTAGGGCATATGCTGGTATTCTGTTTGTATAACAGATTTCGTTCAATCAAGGTGGCGTACGTGCATTTGCAAAGACATTAGGAGTGATTCTGAGCCCTCTTGTAGTTGTTTTCCAGTGATTTCAGTGGAGCTTTTTCTATTATCAGACCTGTGATATTTTTGCTTTTTGCTGTTTCCAAATAGGGAGGTGATGGGGAGCCAGGCCCAAGAGGTCAGCAAGGGATGTTTGGGCAAAAAGGTGATGAAGGTCCTCGAGGCTTCCCTGGCCCTCCAGGCCCTATTGGCTTACAGGTAAATTGCTTTATTATTTTTCTCTCCACTTACAAGAACCCTGATTTCTGTGTCAGAAACTGAATGAGTATTGTCTTCTAGTAAATAAATGATAGCATCAGTTAATAAGAACTGAAAGATCCCATATTCATAGAGCTCATGCATAAATAGCAGATTTAATGCTGAAAGAGATGGGTAAGATGCTCTGGAACTGAACTCCTGGCTACCATAGGCTTTAGAATTTCATTCAGTAACTCATTCATTTATTGAGTCCAACAATTTCTGTTTTAACAAGAGCACTTCTTTTTACTGGAGATACACATTTTAAATAAATATTCAACCTGGAGGAGTATTTAACGTGTCCTACTCATTTACTGTATTTTCACAATAGGTTTTGGCAACATAGTGTGTTTCTCAGTGATACCATCACAGACACTACTTGTGTTCTGAAAGACTAGCAGAACTCCGTGATGCTTATACACTGCTGCCATCGTTGGCAGGTTCCTATAGTTTCATGTTTCTTCCTCTTAAAAATGTTATTTTATGAGTCAAAAAACACAAAGCAAGCGTACAGTAAAATGTAGGCTTCTCACTGCTGCATCCAGAGAATTACAGTTGAAAAATCCCGCTTTTTCAAAAATTTAATTTGCTTAAATATAACAAAACAAAGAACAAGACGTTTAGGACCTTTGATTCATTACATTGTAATTAACATTAGAGGACAGTACACTTTGAAACTATTTCTAATCCATGCATTAAGCTGTAATATGAATCATATTACTCTCTTTTAAAAAACGGAAAATTATAGCAATAGTGTTTGAATATATTAAACAGTATGTCTCCTTTCTATCCACCATGCGTGAAGTGACTCATCTCTTTCACTAAGCCAAACCTTAACCTGTACCTATCATTTTTTACAGTCTATTACATAATGCAGTTCACAAACCTTACAATGAAGTTTATAAAATATTGCAGACCTCCATGGAAGATACACAGTTCATTAGTGCACTGACACATATGTCTTGTGTAGATTCATATCACCTTTGAAATTGAAAACATCTCTATTTTCAGAAATAATAACTCAGAAAAAAACGATTCCTAAATTTTATTATGAATTGTTAAGTTTTTTATTATTTTAAAGAGAGTGAAATAAAATTATCCTTGTTATTTTTCTCAGATCTAGGATACTCTTTCAATTGATGTTTTTCAATAAAGTCCACCTTCACATTTTAAATTTAATGAGCACTAAGCTACCTAAATATAAAAACCAGTTAGGCTGAGACTTAGGCAAATGAAATATTTCAAATGAGGACTTTTATTTCTCTGATTAAGATTTTAATTTGAATATGTTGGTCCATGGACTGAGATCCCATATATGCTGTACCATTGAGAAATCAGGAGTTTCTTTTATTCAGTAATGCAGTTCTCATGGTGATTATGAACTGTTGGGGAGTAACAACTTTCTCTGTCTTATATATAATATTCCGTGGTAGCTATATCACACTTATTCCAGTTAAATTCTACTGATATTTCTTACATTGGACATTAAGGAAAAAGAGTTTTTGTTCATAAAAGTGAACATTGGTAATTTTGAATATTCATTACCTTAATTGTGAATTTCCTTGCTATTTAATTTTGATACTATTTTTAAAAATAAGGAAGTTTCTAACAAAAGGAGGTGAAAGTAAAGAAAATCTGGAAAAACTCTGAGGGCCTATCTAGGTTATCTTATATCAATTTATGGCAATTTTACTCAATTACTTCTTGCCAAAAGGAACTGAAAGGACTCCCGAAATAACATGTCCAATAATGCATGAAATACTGATTCAGTGAAATCAGCTGGAGTTTTTCAATGTTGAAATACGAGTTCACTGAATGGCTTTGGAAAGTCTTTTCAAAGACGGCAATATTAAGTCAATGTTTAATTGCCTTTGAAGTTTCATAAATACCTCCTCTGCAAGCAGTTGAATGAGCTGTTTAGGTTTATCATGACCATGAATCATAATGGATAAGGCATTCAGCTTTTTAAGCTAAATGTCTTTTTATGTTCACGGGGTAGAACTTAGTGGCCTGTTGGCAAGTGGAAGATCTGGTTTATTTGAGGTGGGATTCATCTCTCTAAAGACTAGTCATCTAGTCCGAGTCTAGGCTTCCGCTCTAATCATGGTTTAGAACAATTAGCTACAAAATTGTTATTTAAAACTCCTCACAGTGAAGGAAAAAGTTAAAGTCAATTCAAATTCCATTTGTTGAACTATTACAAGGTTACAAAAAGTAAACATGAAGAAAGTTAGAAAGTAAGAAAACTACCTGTTAGCATAACCCTGGCATTACTACTCAGCATGTAGTGTAATCAATACGTGTTACTGGAGATAGTATTGTCAGCTATGGGCTTCCATTCTAATAGAATACAGTCTAGTATTTTTTAAAATAAGCAAGGATTATATAGAAAAACCGCTGTGCCACCACACGAACTAAAGCTGGCTTTTTTCATGCTGGTTATCTAATAGTAAACAGGCTTTCACAACAACCGCAATGCGCTGACGGGTCAGCCAAGTTTTCCCAGTAGTAGACAACAGAGGCATACATTATTTTTAGCAAAGGTATATCTCTGAATTTTGGCAGGTCTTTCTACGGTTCAGATTGTGTCCGAGTAGGAGGGCAGCTGAGGAATGGATATAGTGTTGGCTAAGTTTATACTTCGTACTTTTTTTATGCAGCTTTGTAGCAAAGACGGCAAATTGTGCTTTCCAATCTGGTTAGCTATAGTTTGATACATACTTTGAAAGTAGCAGGTCCCAGGAGGTGAAACAGAACCAGATCTTAATGTAATGTAAATCAATATAATGCTATTGACTCCAGATCCAGGGGATCTGCTTTTTAGAGAAGCCAAGCTTTGATCCTACATTTAGGAATGCCCAGCTTAGTGGTGATAGTGCTGCTAGCCAGGGTAACATTATATTAGATATCAGTATTAGCATCAGCTACAGTTTCCTTCTCTTCGTGTTTGTTACTAAGTCAAACTTGGACACTTTGCTTCTGAGGATATGTTTGCATAACCCAATGCAATGCCTCTCAGCAGGATTTATTACCTCCACTAGACACCTTATTAAAGCAGTTACACAGCTTCCAGTACTCAGGTAGCTTAGACATCCTTGCGTACCGCTTCATCGTGCTGCACCGATCATGTTTTCTTCACATACATATGGATCATAGCATAAATCAAATTATCCAAATGCCCACCTGGGCCCTGGATAATGATGGCTGTGTTTTTAAAGTCAGCCACCCCTCGCATTTCTGTGTCTGGTTTTTTTCAGAAATTTTCTAATTTCTAATCCTAGGATTACCTGTACATTTCCTGTAATATAAAGAACTCCTTTTTTTGTTGTTGTTTTAATGCAAATAGGTTTTGTTTTCTTGTTCCCCCCTCCAAGTTTCCAAGTTTCACATGTAGATCTGATTTATATTGTTTCATATTGATTTATAACTCAGCATTCCAAGTACCCTACTAATAGTTTTCTTTACTCTTCCATGTGTTTTAGGGTTTGCCTGGCCCACCAGGTGAAAAGGGTGAAAATGGTGATGTGGGTCCAATGGTAAGACTTCTTCCCCATTGGTCACTCTGGGGACATAAATATCATCCGTGTATTATTGTCCTTTCTCTGTAGCTCACAATTTGATAAGCTACTCCTTAATTTGGTGCCTGAGTATGAAACATTTTGTGTAACATAAACTCTCTCTGGGCTTTACTTTGCTTGCCCACATCTATCTCCTCATCTTTAATATCAAGATTTATGTAACTTAAGAAAATACTCTGAAGAGTAGGTAGCAAAGCAGAGCAAAGCAGATGCTATGTGTGTCTGAGACAGGACAGTGGCAAGCAGGTTCAGGAAAGAAGGAGAAAAAGGAGAGACCACTGCACCAGAGAGTTCGGAACTGCTTTTCTGAAATTCAGGGCATGGTACCTTAGCTTCAGGGAATTGCAGGCCAGAAGATGGTAAACACTACCTGGCTATGTTTACTCTGTTTCTCTGGGTAATCTTGAGACTACATTTTCCAACTGGTTATACTGTTGACAGAATGCCTTCTGGGCTGGTCCTGACTGAAATGCAAGCTATCGTCTACAGTGTGCATTTGCCTCCAACACCCTGTGCCAAGCCTGGATGCTTTATTATTGCCCATCTGTGGGCACCATGGTGCAGTACTGTCACATGGCTGTTGCCAGACAGATAAGCTACTGCAGGGTCTTTGCACAGTGGAAGGGGTATGCAGGTAACCTGCAGGGAAAATACAATGCAGGAAACCAATCCTCAGGAGTCCTAAGCATCAGATCGTTTCCAGCTCAGGTACTGTATAACATAGCCTGGATCCCCTGCCACCTTGTGAACTCATGCAATGGGCAGCAATCTGGCCCTGCTGTTTCTGTAGCACTGCGAAGATTAAAAGTCCTCTACAGATTGAGTATATTATTTTTCATTGGCCAAAAAAGCCCCACTGAACTTACTCTTTATGATTGTAACTATATCAAATTGTCTCTTTGATACAGGGTCCACCTGGCCCTCCAGGTCCAAGAGGTCCCCAGGGTCCTAATGGAGCTGATGTAAGAATTAACCTATTGTTTTTCTCTCAGTAATTCAGTAATAAGTACTATATTTGGGATAACTCTCTCAGTAATTCAGTAATAAGCACTATATTTGGGATAACTATATTTGGGATAACCAACATCTTTTATCATTGTAGGGTCCTCAAGGCCCCCCAGGCTCCATCGGCTCTGTTGGAGGTGTTGGTGAGAAGGTGAGTGTTGATAATATCCCCCTAGAAAGAGAAAACATTGGAATAAGAATATGAATATACATTTTGATTCTTCTTCAGAGCTATGTAGATATATTACAGTTCCCAAATATCTTTCATTGACCCAGTAATTGTTAACAGTGATCTAGCTATACTCCTAATGGCTGACTTACCATGGTTGGTCTTTTTATTTCACGTTTTACATCACAAAAATATTTAACAATCAGAGGAAAGAGCTTTGGAGCAGAAGAGGTAGTTTTCAGGCGAAGGATTAAAGTAAGGTTACGGTGATTTCCTTAACTACATAGTTTGATCCCTACAGTAACACTACTGGCTTCAAGTGTTTTTCATTTTACATTGGTGTGGCTTAGAATATCACATAGCCCTCTATCTGGAACGTTAAGAATATAAGCTATTATCTAATGTATCAGTGCTAAACATATCTGTGAGGTGAAGCAGACCTGAAGCATCCATATGTATCTGTTCCTCATACAGATAGATACAGTTCCAGTAAAGTCAAAGGTCTGAGGATGATTTACGCTGGTTGAAAACCTGACTTAAGGCTGATGCTATGTAACATTCATTCATCAAAATGATTTTCATTGCTATTTTCAGTTCTCTATTCAGAAAATTTCCTACCAGTATATGGGGTGGGTTTTTTTTACATTTCCTATCTTACCCAAAGAACATGTCAGAAATTATCTTCCTTTTTCTTAAAGGAAAAATATTGTATGCAATAGACGTAATGGCTTTTTTTGAATTTATTTGAATCACCAGTGTAAACTATCATAAAATGCTGAGCAAACACAAAATTCAAGAGAGAGTCTCTTGAAATTCCTATTTATTTTTATTTTAACAAGTTAGATGACCTCAGCCATATCATGCGTGTAAGCCTAAAAGCATTTTGGTGTAATGCTACAGGTTTAATATGAATTTTTTCTTTAACTTTGGATTTGGAAAGTTCAAAAATCTTTTGAAAGGAGCATAAGGTGAAGGAAGCAGAATAGAAATGTATTCCAGGCCACTGTATAAATAACTTACTGAGAAACTAAGTAGATTGCTCTTGAGTATTTAAATAATTTGCCACAGAATATCATATGTATTCAGTGAAACGCTGGTGTCAATGAATCCTAGAAAAGACATCTCTAGGAATGGCAGTATTGGTAGTTTTTCAGAAAGCTCACAGTATTGATAACTTTTCAGAACGTGAAGCAAGTTTTCCCTTTTTCTTCCTGTCCCATCAGAAAATTAAATGCAGAGGTACCTTTTCCCTCATCTTCCTCATACACCATTACTGAACTTCAGCTCTTCAGAAGTCTTAACTTCTGCTCCCTTTCATTTATCCACATATTCTCTTTGACGCAGTGTACCAGTATTGTACCTTCAGGTACAAATCCATCAGATCTATGAATTTACAAATAACGACTCAAGTACCAGGTCAATCAAAATCACTTATATTTGTCATGATCCTCTTCTTGATCACTGTCCAAAAGCATGTCACTCTGCTTCGCAGAGCTTCTAGGTATTCTTTCTTTTCACAAGATAAGGAAGTTGCCATTGTTTTCCCAGGATCATTTGTAGGACTAATAATAAAAAAAATGAAAATCTGCAGTTCATGCTACAGTATCTCACGAGCTTCTTGTTCCTCTGTGATAACAGATCTTTCTTATGATGCTCTTCAACATTGTTGAAATCTACCATAAAATTTCAGTTATGTGTCTGGTCTTTTCACTAAAATGTCTTTTCGTTAAGTAACCCTTCACTTATATTAGGGCCATGTCAAAAGGAATCACCAACTTCTTATTAGTATGACCAAACTATTATTTTAATAGAATCTTCAGATGTTTCATGATTTTTTCTACATGCCCATCAAATAAATCACCTACCAGTGCTCTGGGATGTGGTGAAGAGAGTACGAGAATAACGTAATGCAATAGATGGCTTGATGGAAAAATATCCTACTTTGTCTCCCTTCTTTGTCTTTTGAGATCAAAGGGTACTGAGCCCAAGCAGATGAAAATATTAACTTTATACTGTAGGTTTTTCATGGTAGCACTGTCATGCCTCAAGCTGACTGCTGCATTGCATTCCCTGTTTCTTAGGATGTGGCTCTGAGCATCAACACACCTCTTGGTAGCAGTGGCATTCTTGTGTCTTCAATCTTTTTTCCCCATAATTGCATAAGACATACAAAACATGATGCCCTCCTGCTTGACTGCATTATTAACAAGGATATTCCCTCTAATCTCCCAATTTTGTGACACTGGTCCTCCAGCCTATCTTAAAAGAGAGCTCGGCCTCATGAAGAGCTGCAGGATTTGTTTTTTCTCTCTGGGAAGAGGACCAAAAACGTGTCTGAATGTGAGAGTTGATAGACATGGCAAAAAACGTTATTGGAAAAAGAGAGTCTGTATGTCAGCGGAATACAGAAAAAAATGGGCCTGTGGGAAGAAAAACTCTTCCTGTGACCACTAGGGTACTGAGAAAAATGTTTATTATGAGAACTCTACATCCAGGGTAGCACCCATTATATTCACTGCTTTTAAAAAAAAAAACACCTTGTATAATATTGTGGCCCACTGAAGTCAATAGGAATTTTGCCACTGGTTTCAATCACCTCTTTAATTTTTACTGTTTGATGATCAAATTATATCCCAGTCATTTTGTAAAAACATTGACTTATATTGAAGTCCTTACTCCTTTGTTTCTCCCTGTGACTCTTCTGTGTGATTTAGAATCCCTATTTGTGATAATCAGCCCACCAAATTTAATTCAAGAACATGAAATTCAGACTGTTTATCACTGGTTGTCATTTTTATTTCCTCTTGCTTACTTCCGATATTCTCTGCATTCACACAGAGAAGCTTCCAAGTATATTATCTTGGAAGTTTTTATTTCTTCTAATCACTTTCCTCCTCCTTCTCAAGTTTTAGTACATGCCAGTTTTTCTCCTACTTAGGACATCTTCCTTCTGAATTTCAGTTCCATTTAATAAGTTCCGCAAGCTTAGAAATCATAGAGTTGTTCTGGCAGGAGGAGTTCCCGCAATGGGAGGACAGTTCACACTTTTAAACAAAACACGCATTTTCTCTTTTCCTTTTCTTCCCACATATTTTTGCCCCGATGTTTTTCTTATTACGTCAGCATGCTTTGGCCTCTGCATCCTTTTCAGGAAAGACATATCATACTACAGGTAATGCAATGCAGTGCTGATTGTAGAGTGTGGAAAAACATTTTGGCGTCCTCCCTGTCATTGTTGGGGAGTGAAACAGATTTACTCACTTTCATATTTGAGTGGTTAGACTAGGAGATGTTTTGTTATTAATACTGGGGTTTCGAAGCCCCCTTATCTTCTGGCAAGTTATAAATAATTTTTGTCACAATGCCATGTATTTTTAACTAGCTTATTTTTTCCTCTGCTGTACACACAAAGGCCTAAATGTTCAAAGACATCTGCAGTACAAATGTGCATGTAGCCTTGCATTATTAATGCCTGTAGCCTCCATGGAGCAGTCTAGAAGTCTTGAAGACTTACACTCAATCAGAAGCACTTAAATCCAGCTTCCACCCAGAAGTTTTTCTCTTTATTGTGCTTATAATTAACAAAAAGCAGAAAACCAAAATGTACCAACACATGGTTATATCTAATTTCATATCAAAGGCCTAACATGCAGATATTCTAAATACCCGGTAAGTTGCTCATGACTTCTCAAAACTGGGCCTTAGATGTTTTACAACATCTAAGAATTTACAACACAGAAAGGAAACAGAACAAGTAACATTAATGTCACACTTCTCTTCCGCAAAGCCTAATAAAATAAATTTAGGCTAATCTGTGATAACTGCACCGAGGACTGTGCCATTCTTCCACCCTTTCTCCCTTCCACAGCACGTGGGAAACTGGCAGAGTCAATGGGTAATGCAAAATGAATGTCTGCAGAATGTAAGCATTCTTTCTGTAGCCCCTCAGAATTTAAATCTGGTTTAGTATATGAAAAAGTCTGATGTTAGAAAACCACTACACTCATCTGGGTTTATAGTCCTTCCTATAATAGCATTCTAAAATAATTTTTAAAATAGTACACTAATAAGGAGTCCAACACAGTGAACAAGTGAAATCAGTAGTTTATATGCTTAATCAGTCGTTGATTTATACTGCAGATGGAAGGGAGAGGACAAAATCAATTGAGTATTCTGGCCCTAAGTTTAAAAACATGTCTGAGAAGGTTGCACAGACACCTTTATGTGTGCATATCATTTTTCCACACACCTGTGTGCAGACAATTGCTAAGGTACTCAATCAAGATGTGTCTATGACAGTTTATCCTACCCGAATATCTGTCCTAACAAATTACTTCTAATAACTTTACATGGCTCACTGACTGTGATCTCTTCTCATCCTTCTCCAGCTCTCCAACATGCTTGTAAACATAAGCCCTCCCAGAAAATACAGCATAGCTTTATAATTTCTGTCTTGGTTAAATTTATCTCTCCACGGAGCGATAATATATATATAACGCAGTCACATAATGCAGACCTGTGTGAAAAGGGGTTGTCTTCTAGAGTCACAATTTTTCTCTTTTTTTCTGTTTTGTGAGGATGGCAAAAAGGAGCAAAAGTGTAACTGAATCCTTTTCGCAACCCAGTCGGTTGCAAAGTTGCCTCTCATTCTTACAAAATCAATCGCCATGTCCCAGAATTTAACCAAAAGGTGGCAGTCTTCCCTCCGCTCGCTCTCTGTCCCTGTGCTTTGTATGGACAGTTCTGTAGACCTGCTCATAATAAGGAAAACAAAGGACTTTTAAACTACTGTCCTTAGCCTGATAGAAATCATTCTCCTTGCTTAGTCCAAGGAGGTTTTCAGAATTAAACACGTCTATGAAATGACATGGCTCACTGTAGTTTAGAATCTCTGTCTTTGCTTGTTGAAATCCTGTCAGAGGAAGGCTTTGCCTAAGAAAGACCACACTAACTTTTAAAAGATCTGACCTTGTAACAAAAGAGGAAAAAAATTCCAGAGGTGGAATAAATCTCTTATTAGATCATAAAATCTATTTCCCAAAAGAACATGAGATATTTCTCATGGAGAAGGTGCATCGGATTCTGAATTAATACCATCTTTGCCAAAATGCAAAGAAAGACGAGGGCAAACAATAACCTACAGATTGCACAGTTTTTAGTAGCTCTAAATATGCGCTCTGTAAATATGTATCAGCTACAATCTTCTCTATCAAAACATTGTTTAACTCCCTTAACAGCTGTCTAAAACAAGTACAACCTTCCGCAGTACCTAATATTTGGAATATAAAAATCAGCGTCAGAAAAAACAAGGACCGCATACAGGGAAGAGTCACATTTTTTAATAGAGCAATGATTTAGAAGTATTAATGTGAGATGAAACTTTAACTGGTCTCATCTTTCACAGACGCCCTTTAAGGGGAACATCTTGACATTTTCTTGCCCTTCCAATATTGCTGTCTTCCACACTGCTGCTTATTGGGGAGTTACTATGCACAGAGCTCATATAGGCTGCCTGCATCTCCCAATTTCAACACGCGTGCTATAGCAGGGACCCCTGAGATCCCAGGAGCACAGCCTTCCCCCGTTGTCCCCAAGTATAGGTCAATATGTCAGAGAAAGCCCATCTTTTCTCTTGTTGCATGATATCGTACAATGAAGATGTGTTTGTCAACGGGAAGGGTAAAGAGCGGATCACAAATCAAATGTGAATCATCATCAATTTCAGTATCATTTGGCAGAAAGGCAGAAAAAGAACTTACTCTCTGAGAAGCTGAGAAGGGGATTATACTGGCACAGGTGCTTGTCAGGCAAGACTTGGCACAATTAGTGTTCTTATGTCACTCAGTTAGTTAGTCCTGCAATGGGGACCCCTGTTGAAGGGGTCTATATTGTGGATTCTGTTAGATATATCTACTGACCTGAATAACATCCGTTGGTTTGCTAATTCCAGACCTCATTCTCTGTTGCTACATAAATCTGATTGATAGTAGGCATGGACAAAAAAATGATACTAATGATGATGCAGATTCAGTAACCCCTGTGCAGAGGATAAGGAAATGAAGATTATGAATTTTCCTAGAAAACATATTTAATGCTTATTGACCTGAACTATCCACTAGACTTCTTTTAAAAAATAATGAATGCTGTATCACAGAAGCAAATGAACATTAAGTACTAAGAGGGATCATTAATTTTTAAGATTACTGCAAATTTAAGTATGTCTAATAGAACATACCACAATTTCTAAAGGCAAATTGACCCTTTAAAAGTGCCCTTTCTAAAGGACATTTTAATATTGCTCCTAAAGTTGTGGTAATCTGTTAATGATCCTATTCTGGAATTCAGTTGGGTGCTCAGATCTTCTTCCATTCATCTAATGTAATATTTACATTGGGCCAAATTCTGGACCTGGTGAGGTCATCGTGCTGCCGTTAGTTCTATGAAAAAAACTTCAGTATCTACACCGTAAGATTTGTTTAAAATTCATATTTTATGATTTATACTTTTATACTGTCCACGTGGAAGTGACAGACATGCATGTTGTATTAATTGAATTGTCATTGAATGAAGAGGGGCGTGCAGGTCATACAGGATACGAAGGATACACAAATTTATTCCAAATCTGTGTTTGAGTTCAGTAGAGGGGATTGGGTGAAATGCATTTTCAGCACTGAAGTACTCTCATTTACAGGCATAATTATTGGCAAGGTTCATTTGGTTTGGAAAAAGAATATATATGGGGCAAAAAAGTCCCCCCATTAGCAGTTACACTGAGAAATTCTTTGGAATAAAAATATATAGTTCTTATCTCAGCACTCCATGACAATCACAAAGCAGATTCTGATATCCTTTCACAGTTTGTGTGTCTGTGATGCTAATAGCTAAATATTCTACTAACAGAGTAGTTTTCTATAAAGGTTTATTTATCAGACCACTGAGCTAGAAAATAATCAGTCATAATAAACTTTAAAATGAACAATTGCAAAGACAGTCTTTGAGCCAATACTGTGTATTAGTTCAGAAAGAGACTGAATTAACTTAAACATTCATTTAATATAATTCACTATAATCTTTGACTTGCACAGGTTTTCTTCATAGGGTGTCGTCCTCAAAGCCATCTGCTTTACTAAACAGTTTGCATCACCAGTGACCACATAGCATACACCTTTGTGGCCTGTGGTGAAAGTTCTGCTAACTGTTATGCTATTATCTTATCCTTATGTTTTTCTTTATATAATTTTTCATTCTAACAGTAGCTATAGCAAAAATATCTTCGCTCCATTGGCGTTCATTTCCAATTAGTGTTATCTTATTTGTAGAAACTTCCTTGCAGGCAAAATGTATCTTCTAGAGAAATAAACATACACAGTCAATATACTTCTTTGGCTTTTCTGTGACTAGAAAGAGAGATGACAAACAGGAAATTGGCAATATATGGGATAATAAAGGGGAAGATCTTCCAAAGCCCAAAGGGAAGGTTAGTCTCCCTGGCTCACTAAAAGCTTAGTTTGATATATTCTCTCTAAAATTTCAGATTCCAGTTCTGCAAAACCATATGTAACTCAACCCCCTTTAGGTAGACCAAATAAAAGACAGTTCCTGTAAGCTGTTCACGTGAAGAGAATGGGAAGAATATGTAATAACAGAAGTAAATTCACAGAAATATTCTCCCTAATGACTCATCGATTTATCCTCACACATTGACAGGGTGAACCTGGAGAAGCTGGTAACCCTGGACCTCCTGGAGAATCTGGAACATCTGTGAGTATTTTGGTTTTGTCTTACTATTAACTTTTATTATGGTGAACTAAGTTATCTGGCAGTGCTTACTTTAGTAAGCATTTAATCAGATTGCTTAAGTACTTGCGTATGTTTTCTTTACATTTTCAGTGAAGAACTTATACCTTTAAAATGTAATTTGTTTTCTTACAATTATAGCCGCATCTTGTATAACAAAAACAGAGGACAGAGCTGAAGACTTCCTAAGAGAGTACCTATTTTTTCTTCCAAAAGTATTAACTTTGACACGCATGTTTTTCTCTCTGAAGACAGTTCATTGATGCAAACTGGGTGCAGATGTTGGCACTCGACCTGAAATTCACAGGTCTTCCAGTCTGAGGCTGAGGTCCTAATTTCCCATTCACATGCCGGCATTTATTGATGAGTAACATTGCCCGGCTCTGAAAAACAGTTTTGCCATTGTAATCTTTCTTTTGCCATTCAATTTCCAGATGACATTTTTGTGTTCATATGTTTTCTACAGGGTCCAAAAGGTGAAAGGGGAGAAAAAGGTGAGGCTGGTCCACCTGGAGCAGCTGGACCACCAGGTGCTAAAGGACCTCCAGGTGATGATGGGCCTAAGGGTAACCCAGTAAGTGAGCTTAATAATTTTAACACAAAGCATTGTGAAGCACTGCTGAAGTTGTGCTACATGTAGAACTGTATATAATTTTCTACATTTGAACTAAATTCATTGTATGCTTCATAAAATACTTGTGATGATTGCTACCTGCTTGTCAATGGATGACACATTCCTTGGGTTTTTTCCTGATTTATCTAGGGCCCAGTTGGTTTTCCTGGAGATCCTGGTCCCCCCGGGGAACCTGGTCCAGCTGTAAGTATACTTAAAAAACAGTTTTAGGTCCTAGTCTTGGTTTGTACTAAATCCTAGTTAACCCTGCCTCTTCCTTGTCTGGGGATGAGGTCTTGCCTGTAAGAGCTGTTGCTTTTCTGTTCATATATTTCCTAAGGCTTAAAAAAGGTTTAGAAATCTTTAAAAAGTCTTGAAAACTAGTGTCCTTAGGAAAATGCTGTGTAGAAGAATAGTGCTCTTATATTTGTATATGAAACTAAGTGACTTAATTTAGCTGAATTTTGTATTTTGTTTATTTTCCTGTGAATTCTGTAGGGTCAAGATGGTGTTGGTGGAGAGAAGGGTGAAGATGGTGATCCTGGTCAACCTGTGAGTTCGTTCTGTCATTTTACTTCAGCTGCATGTTCTCTCCTATGCTAAGAAAGTATCTTAGTGCTCTTGTATTTGTATATGAAACTAAGTGACTTAATTTAGCTGAATTTTGTATTTTGTTTATTTTCCCGTGAATTCTGTAGGGTCAAGATGGTGTTGGTGGAGAGAAGGGTGAAGATGGTGATCCTGGTCAACCTGTGAGTTCGTTCTGTCATTTTACTTCAGCTGCATGTTCTCTCCTATGCTAAGAAAGTATCTTTTGCTGAATCAGTGGTTTCTATACATTTGTACCCTTAATAATACTTGCTAAAGGGATGCTTTTTCTATTATACTGAAAAATATCTATTTATTTCCTTGTAGAGATAGAACTGCCCATATTATAGTCACAATCAGAAGCAAGAGCTCAATTTCTTTTAGAAGTAGAAATAAATGATGTGCTAAGGATTTCTGCTGGAGCTGCTGAGGAGCACTAAAAATAGAGCAACTCTGAGCATAAGAAAGGAATGCTGCAGCCAAATAATCTTCATTAGCTGACCTGATGAAATGAAGCAAAACCTTGATGTTTCTGCTTTAAGGAAGTTAAGAAGTATCTGAGCAATACCCATATTAAGCATCAAATTCTTATATTTCTGTAATTCCCATATTAAAACATCATTAATTTAACTTTTTTATTGCAAAAAGAAAGGGGTTTCCATTTGGAAAGTCTCTTTCTAGCTCTGGAAGTTTTGATTATCAGGGAATTATCCTATACAGTACAGTTTGAAAATAAAAAATGCTAGTACATTGAACGTATGGTTGGAAGTAAGTTATAAACTGGGGTTTACCTGCAAACTTCGGGAAATTACTATCTGTATGTCTTACGTAACAGTACGTACTTTTAGAGCGTTGTGTTCCTGCAGAAAAGCTTATCAAAGAAATATTTAAGAGTATCACAGGTGACCAAGATGGAGTAGCCAAATGGCTGTCAGTGCACAAAAGATTTTTCAAGAGAAAGCCACCCACAGGGCAGCTAATTCACAGACATAAGTGAAATATTTTAGCAAAAGCAACAACTCCAGCACCTGAGAAAGCAAGAAACTTCTTAACGGAGTTAGGCAGTAGGCAAAGACCGTATGTTACTTCTGTGCAGCCGCTTCCTGGTCTGAAATGTTTTGTTGCAAACAGGAAGAGAAAAAAAGAATGATTGCATTTTGTACAGTAACAAAAGCTGTTAAAAATTTCAAAAGACCAACTTAAGAAAGGATTTGTTGAATAAGCAGGTATACTTCTCTGTGTGTATTTATGGTACTTGCTTTCTGTCCATTGAAAGGGGCCAACATATTGCAAATGTTTGTTGCATTTAATAAAGGTAATTTCTTTATCCATAGTTAGCACTGAGCTTATCATTTTCCATTGCAGGGTCCACCAGGTCCTTCAGGTGAAGCTGGCCCACCTGGTCCTCCTGGAAAAAGAGTAAGTAATTTCCCATTTTCTCTTGTACACTTCTCTTCCTGAGATACTACGTTCTAGAGAATTTCAGCTACTTGTTTTCCATGTTGTGACGCTCATATATGATGTTTGAAGTTTCTTTTAAGTAATGCAATGGGAGAAATGAAAAAGTAGAAACAGCAGAGAAAACCCTTTAACATGGGTTACATGGACCATGGGAACAAAAATACATAGGGAAGAATGTATTCCTTATCTATAAATGCGCTTTTTCTTTTCACCCAAGTGAATTCAGTGTCTGCTGAATTAGTCCGCTGATAGGAGTGAGCGATTATGAGAGTAATACAAGACATCATCCTTAGGGACATGACTGCTGGCAGGGAGCAGGAAGAATATGTCTGCTTTGGTGTCTTTAGCCTCTGAAATAAAATAATTTCAATGCAGCTTTTGTGCAAACCTGTGTCATCCCCTCTGCATACAAAATTAGCAAGCAGACATTTCTGTAACTTATGAAGCCATTCCATTATTTTTAAAGTCTTTGAAGCTTCACAGGCTTTACAAATATAGCTAATCAAAACCAATAATTAACATTACACTTACAGAACTGATGCATCAACCTTTAAGTCTGCTTCAGAGAGCAATTAGGTGCAGTTTTTACACTTCAAAAAACAAGGGAGGGGGCATCATTAAATGTAAGCTGAGAGCTATTTAACAAAGTGTGTTAAATTGCTGTATTTAATAGGCTTGAGTGAACTGACATGCCTAATTAGTTTTATCTATTTCACACAATAATCTATTTGCTCCACCAACTTGCAAAACATTTATAATACTGTAAATGATTATGGTAGCATTAGCAACCTTATCACTAGAACTGAAATACGGCTCGATTGAATATTAGCAATTAGTATGTTTGTTCAACATCAAATTAGAAATTCCTACTTTATTGTACAGAAAGGCAGTAGCTCATTCCTAACAGATCGGATATATTGCATCTGATTGTACCTAGACAGAAAACACTTTAGAAACACAAGTATCATGTCACCCGTGGTTTGACACATTTCCGATTTAGGGAAAATGGCTAAATATTGCCAAGTAATCCCATTCCTGAATTCTAAAGAAAACATTTTGTAGAATCAGATTCTACATTACTCAAGTACCTGAATGTTTCAAGCTTGTAGAGAGTCTGTATTGTGTTGATATTATACCAGAGAGAAACAGTGAAGGACTGAAAGCTTCATACTTTACTGGCAGAATGAACATACAACTGATGAAAACTAATGAAGAGCATTTTTCATGGTAGAATCGATTTCAACAAAAAGCCCTAACAAGTGTCCTTTCATCCAGATTAAGAAAGACGTACCATTTCAGTAGTAATACCGCTGACTATGGAGGTGCAGCTCTGGCTATGCTACTAGAAAGCAACATCCCACCCCATTTTTTGTTTTTCTGTCTCTGACACGACACGCTAGCAGAGCTCAGGATTCATACTTTTAAATCTAGTCCCTTGAACTAAGTTTTTGTTTTTCTGTCTCTGAAACGACATGCTAGCAGAGCTTTCATACTTTTAAATCTAGTCCCTTGAACTCCTCAACTGTACAGTCTCCTTATTTATTCTGTCATTCATTTTCATTCCTCTCTTCCCCTGTATTTTGGAACTGACCTGAACTCAGTTTCACTGCCCAGTCTTATGAAATTATGTTTATTACCAGGTTTCAGAGTTTTGAGCGATCTGTGTCTAGTATTGCCAGTTACAAAGAGGTTCCCCCAGCTTTCCCTGGGAAGCAAATTCTAGTGAAAGACATGGACATAAATAGAGTTTTCCCATTGTATCTAAGAGACTCCAGCTACGCATACATACTTACAGTGACATTCAACTATCAGGTGAAGGCCAAGAATAAACTATTTTTCCTAGTTTTTGATGGGTAACAGTAATAGGATTATTATTAGTTGGCGAGATAAGCAAATACCAAAACTGTTTTACTGAGGTGCTCTAAAGGCTTTGACAATAAGTACCAGAGCCTTGCAGACTGAGCAAGGGTCTCACGGACAAGCAGTATGGTGAATTTCTCTTAAGAAATACCACTTAGGAAGTACATGTCAAAACAATAAGCCTGTTCCAGATTCCAACTCTGAAGAGGTAAAATTGACTAGCATGCTAATGACCACTTAGCTCAAGTCTAAATCAAAATAAAAGGTTACATCTATGGATGAAACAAAAATGGATCATTAGAGCATCCACAAAATGTGTACCCTAATTAATACATGACTTTTCAGACCGAACAATTGCTCCTCCAAAAAATATTTCCACCGCTGCCTTTCAGAAAGTCCTAATACCACAGGTACACTGGTCTCTGCCTTATAAAACTGAAAGTATCTTCAGAAAGAAGTCTTATATTCAGATGAAAAACTAGATTAAATATATAGAATCATAGTATCATTAAGGTTGGAAAAGACCTCTAAGATCATCGAGTCCAACCGTCAACCCAACACCACCATGCCCACTAAACCATGTCCCTAAGCGCCTCATCTACTCGTCTTTTAAATACCTCCAGGGATGGGGACTCCACCACTTCCCTGGGCAGCCTGTTCCAATGTTTCACCA